TTCACTGCCCAGTAGATTGACAACGCTTCACGATCAATCTGGGGAAAAACGCCGCAGAACTCAGTAAGCTCCGTACTTCAGTGACGGTGTTGGGCGGTTTCAATGTCTGAATCTCACTAACTTTCTTGGGGTCTGGTGAGATACCTTCACCACTAAAGATATGTCCAAAAAACAACATGCTTGGTACACAAACATGACACTTCAACAAGTTCACACGCAAGTTGCTCTCAGTCAGTCGCTGTAACACCATTCGAAGATGCCGGTCCTGTTCTTCCATGTTTCTTCCCCCAACATAGATGTCATCACTGATATTCTTGACATCTGGTATGCCACTGATGACGTCACTGACAATCTTCTGAAAGATTTCCGCTGAACATGACATACCAAAGTTCAAACGTTTATAACGCTATAATCCGACATGCGTCGAGAACGTGGTGAGATGGCGTGAGTCAGGATGTAACATGATCTGGTGGCAGCCTTGCCTTAGGTCAACCTTACTAAACACTTTGCAGCCATTCAGGTCAGCTACAATGTCATCAATGGTAGGTATGACATGACGTTCACGACTTATTGCTTGATTGACTGCACGCATGTTGACACAGATGCGTATCTCGTCACCTGTTGGCTTTGGAACGACAACTATAGGTGATATCCAAGATGTTGGACCTTTAGCTCGTTCTATTATGTCAGCCCTTTCAAGTTCATCCAGTTTCTGTTCGACTTTCTTCCTGACATGAAAAGGGATACGTCGATGAGGTTGTGCTACTGGTTTGATCGATTCATCGACAACAACCTTGACAGGATCACATTTGCATGTTCCCATCCCAGCGGTCACTGTGGGGAATGTCTGGGACTCATAATGTCTGGGTCAAGATGCGATTTTGGTTCAGACACACTGTTGACCGATGTGATCAGGTTTAACTTCTGAGATGCTTTCCAACTCAAGGGCGAACTGCTTGGTCCATTCACCACGAAGAATGTCTCTTTGCAATTATACTGATCATTCGATGCATCAGCTTGGAATTTCCCAAGTAGATTGAGTGGTTTTACTAACATGTATGGGTACACTCTCGAATTTGAGTGTGTAAGCTTCGGCTTGTTCTTTACTGCGAGATAATCTGTCTCGTTCAAAACATTCACCGATGCCCCAGAATCAGCTATTACTCGCACTGGTGTGCCAGCTATGTTTACACTGAACAGTGGTTTGTCACGGACAGTCATGTTGGTAGTGTCAGTAAGACGAAATGTATACCCGTCATCATCAATGTTATTATCACTAAAATCACACTTGACAGCCGAATTTTCAGATCGCCTGTCTTTTATTTCAGATGCGTTCCCTATCTCTATTGCACGCGCTCGGTGTCTGATTGGTCTGTCTCGCCCGTGCTGACTGATTCGTTCCTGTGATTGTGCAGCTGGGTTTCCTCGACACATCCTTGCGAAAAGATTAGATTTTCCACACTTATGACAAATTTTTCCTCGAGCAGGACACTGTTCTTTGTGTGGATACAAGCCGCCAAAAGCCCACATGTGGTGTTTCGCTGTTTGTCAGGCTTCACTTGACGTCTGCCGTGATAATTGGCACTAGGCTTGTGTTTGTTTTCCTGATGAAACGGTTTGCTGTTTACTGCATGTGACGTCTCCCGATCCATTTCTTGAGAATGTTCATCTGCAGTTTCCATCGCGCGAGCCGTTTTTATAATTTGCTCTAAGGTTAAGCCTTGTTCTATTGCCTTCCTCCGTAGGCGCGAGCTTGAAGTGCCTTGTATAATTTGTCGTCTGATCTCGACATTGTTGTCTTGAAAACCACACTTCTTAGCCAGGATCTGCAGTCTAGTGTGAAATTCTGTCACTGATTCACTAGTTCTCTGTGTTTCTTTGCGAAAAGAATACACATGGTGGTCTGTACATCTTTGAGGTGCGATATGTAGTCAGCCATCGCTTTTATGGTTCGGTCGTATATGTTTGTATCCTCATGTTCACCAGCGGCTGGTTCTGGTATGATCAATGTATCGATAATGTCACATGCTTCCTCACCTATATAGTGCAGGAACATAGCCTTACGCCTTTTAGGATCTGTGACCGCCATGGCTGTGAACATGTTGCCAAGTCTCTTCACATATTTCTCAAACCGGGTAGGTGCGGTTTCTCGAGGGTGCATTTCGAATTCAGCAAACGATGGTAAGCTGATCGCCATTTTGAGAAATCTGCGCGCTCCGTTTCGTCACCCGGTGTGGATCAACGAAAACGTAAATACCAATGGTTGGTAGTACTAGTACGACAGTTTCTTCTATTCACGCCTACTTATCGTGTGTGTTCATGATCCCATCCTCGTCGCCATTTGTGATGTATTCACATAGATTTATTGTGAAATAAACGCAAGTATAACAAACACAGCGAACAATGCAGTCGCATCATTACTCCGGTCCTTTTCTTCTTCTCGCTCTCTCCTCAGGGGAGAACAACTAGCGCCATTAAGTATGGGCAATATTAATATAATAAAACAATACATTACAGCTACCATTGTGTAGTGGCCCTAGGGGTGGCCACATTGGATTTTTACACGTGCTGTGGTTAGCACGTGTAATTTATTTGTGTCGGGATCATTTTCCGCTCCTACCGCGAAGGTAGGACGCTGATGCAGTAGCAAGAAAAACCCCAGAGTGAAATGAACGCAAGTCTTTAGATAGTCTTTATACAACTGATGGGTTTATTCATCATATACGAATAACATGAATAACTTTCACTGCACGTATCTCAAATATAGCGTATATATATATATATAATATATATATATTGCTCGTGTCACGTTTACGTTACCTCGTTAGGTGATTACACGTTTAACTTCTCTTAGCTATTCTACGGGTTAATATTGTAGCCGTCTCTGTCTCTCCCAGTCGTGTGCTCCGCGACTCGGCGCGAGTTTGTAGGTTGGCAGTGTGTCTTCCTGTCGTGTGTAGGCTATATAGCTACCTTAGTATAAGGTATACCTTCTCGTTCGTTGTCCTGCTCGTAGGTGGCTCTCCCTCTGACGGTGTGTGTTCGCTCCCACGAGCGGTTTCGTTTGTGCGTTCATTCGTTCGTTCGTTCCTGTGTACGTGTGTTCGTTCGTTCGTTCGTTCGTTCGTTTGTTCGTTCGTTCGTTCGTTCGTTCGTTCGTTAGTTCGTCCGTTCGTTCGTGGTCGTCCGAAGACTGACTGATTTTACTGTTGGCTCTCGGCTGCTTAATTAGGACCCTGCGGTGACGTAGGATCCTGGCAGTGCCTCCCTCTCCCGTGGCTCAGGTGCCTGGCCGTTGTCACCCTCCTCGCTTAACACGTGTACGGGTGATGCAACCCCCTTGGTCCAGAATATGCACGAGCGTCGCACCCCCCTGTCTGCCACGTGCTCGGCCGGTGCAATTCCCTCGCCTCGGGCGTGTACATGGTGGCGCAACTCCCTTACCTCTCACATCTGGTAGCTATGGGACCCCCTCCCCCGCGCTTGTCTGTGTCGTTGGGGAAAACTTTCTACCTGTCGCTAGGGGAACTTTCTATCTCTGTTGCTAGGGGAACTTTCTATCTCTGTTGCGGTTGAACTGGTCTCTGGTTGTATGACGTAATCCCCCCTGAAATCTTCACAACTGCACAAATTCATATATAATAATAAAACTTAAAATAATTTATAACTGCACATCAAAAATTACGGTAAGTGCGTAATTGTATGAGAAAGAAGCTGCGCGATGGAGAGGAAATTGTCTATAAATACTTTCAAACACTCCTTAATTAGTTAATCTAATTATAATGGCACAAACTGCAATGTTTATTAAATAATTATAAGCATTAATATCCTGTTAATATATGAGTGCGAGTCGACAGCGTGTATAACAAATCAATAGGTAACTACGATTGATTTTGCTCGATAAGACGGTACCGTCGGAGGGCATATAGTTAATGATGTACAACTACAAGTGTAAAAGTATAGTCTATAGTTCGAGTATAAATTCACATGCATGTGCAATTAATGACATGTTTACAAGGGCACTAGGGTGTAGTATATATTCGTTTAATTTTGAAGTCTACTACGCTATTAGTATTATAGTATTTCGATCAGACTATGAAATATTTTTAACTCTGTCTTTAAATTTTAATTTAGTAACAAGTATTTCATGTGATAACGAACAGGTATTGAAAACGACTGATAAACCGTAGGAAATGTTGTTGTAATGCTGTATGTAGGCTTACAAGTATACTAGAGCCCCACAATAAATGCACGTGACTAACGATTGCCCGTTACGAGTAACTGCGCCAGCGCTTGCCCTAGCGTCAGGTTGCTAAACCATACAGTACCATAATACCATCTATAGCCAAACGCGTGATCGCAGTTGGCGTCCAATTGAGTCGACCGCTAGTCGGGCGCTAATCTTTATTAGATTACTAAGAAGCGTGGTTAACTGTAACAACATCTAAATATACTATAATAAATTTTTTGTTTTTGTATTGATGTGTGCGAAACCCAGGTTAGATAATGTTTGAATCCATACAGTAAACTTCGCTCACGCACACACATGAAACTACTCTGATAATAATAATTCTTCAGGTTTCGTCATTGATCTCTCGATTTGAATGAACAGCACGTTCTATAACGATATTCAGATAATACAAGAATAGACTCTTTGAGGCCAATGTTCCCGGAAATGGAGCGGTGCAGGTGACACAGGTACTATGGACTCTGCCTTCGAATTTACTATATATATTCGTATGTAACAAACTACCTTATGCTACTTAACATGATCAGCAGCGAGGAACGCTTGGTGGAATTTTCTCGGCTTAGCACCTAGTCTTAGTGGTCTCCTGCCATTATGACCTGCGAACTGCCAGTCGACAAAACACTGCTAGTTAAACCCGGTTATTACAGCTACTGATGCCTGACCACTGCATCAGCATTAAACTGGAGACCCCTATTTTATCTATAAGTAATAGAAATCCTTTATGTAGATTTACATTCATTTACTTGCCTGCAACCAATGGCACAGACATACGTCACGATCATAACAAAGGATATAGCACGTGAACATCGGCGCCCTCCAGAAATCACCTGTGTTTGAAGATCGAGCTGCTCCTCCGATGTGGATCTTCGGGCAGAATTCACTTTGTTTGGACACATCGCAACACATCGCCCCACGTTCGGGCGGTCACTATGTGTGTTTTTATGCTGACTATTATGCCTCTCCTGGAGCAACTCACAATGAATCGACGCAAACACAGGAATTTTGGTAATGAACGGCTTTAATAACGAGACGCCGGGCTAACTCACGTCTGCTCAATCACATGATCGGCCAAGCAATCTGAGAACGAGCAGGCCGCGCGGGCGCCTCACATTGCGCAACACCGCGCCACCCTTCCGACACTAGTCGAAACTATGCCGCCGGCAACACATTACATGGTTGAAGGACATATATACGTTATCCAAAACACAGCCGAGAGCTGCGGTGCTAGCGTGTTACTAAATGTTAAAATATAAAAAGAGGCGGTGTACAAGATTGTACAGGGGGTGGGGGTCTAACCGGTAAGCCCAAACTGGGCGAGTACTCGAGGTGCTCGCGGAAACGGGCGAGTCTGGGGGCCCTTTCCACCCAGGAATTTTTTTTTAATAAACCCTTCAGATGGTTTTCCTGCGATCTGGACTGACCACAATTAATTCATCTTGATATGCTGCGGATCAATGCCATTTTATGTCTGGAATGCATTAACCTCTTAGACCAATTTTATCTATTTTTAAAATAAAACTAACGGTCTTATAAAAAATATTATGGACAGGTCTGAGCGATGCAAGCGGGGGGGGGTGCCGCGACCCTTGGACCCCCCCCTGTAGCACGCCCCTTGCATATAATATGGCCCATTAATTGTACAGCTCACGTANACGTGGATTTCGCCAAAGATCTAAGATCCGAGAGATTGCGAGTAAAATGGAATTCCGCGCTGAATTTTTCGCGGCCAACCCAAGCCACATCGGCCTCTAGGGGGCGCCGGCGTAATAAAATCCTCGTGCTGGAAGCAGGTGAGTCATCGGAGGCAAACATAAAATGCAGAATCGCTCGGCGCGTCGGCGGACCACTGGAATGATGTGCCACCAGAGGGCGTCGTCATTCGCGGGACGAGAACGGACGTAGGTGGCGCTGTAGGTCCGCACGCGAGGCTCCGCCACAGACGACAACACGGAGGGGAGGGGGAGGGACTCTGAGGGAGGGACTCTGAGAGAGGCACTCGGATAAAGAGATGAGAACGGAGGAAACTTGAGTTNCCGCCTCCGTCAATTCTCCTCCATCGGTTCCTCTAGAGGGTTGGCTGCCACCGTCGTCGTCGTCGTTTCCATGACGACGGGCCGGGAGGCGGCGCTTGATTGGTCGGTGCTAGAGTCCGGCGTGCTGTCGGGAGACGACGAGTCGCCGATCGGTTTAGTGTCCGGTAGCTCCGCCTCGTGGCTCGATTCGGCACTACTGCCCGTCTCGATTTCCTCGTCGGCCGGTATCTCGTCGCCGGCGACCGTCTCCGTGGTTACGGTCGTCGTCGGCGACGTCGCCGCGACGACGCTCGCCTCCGCCGGCGTCTCCTGCGACGTGATTGGCTGCGGCGCGTCGCTGCTGTCGGATACGAGCGCCGATTGTTCGTTCTCGTCCGCCAGCAGCTGCTGCACGGTGTCGCCCTCTGTTGGGAGGTGAACAGCCTCCGAGATGTCACCGACGTGCGCTGTGAGAAACAATAGAAGATATTAACGGGTGCAAAGGAAACTATACTTTATATATATATATTATAAATATATATTAACTTATTTATAACTATACTTTATATATATATTATAACTTATATTATAAATATATATTAACTTATTTATAACTATACTTTATATATATATTATAACTTATATTATAAATATATATTAACTTATTTATAACTATACTTTATATATATATTATAACTTGTATTATAATATATAAATATTAACTTATTACTAGGATGTCACCGATCATCGATTATACTCGATCATCGGTTGAACAGTGGCTCGAACCAAGCGCTTGGTTATCAAAATCCATAATCAATTTCATCAAAAAAAAAAAAAAAAAAATTGAAATAAATGTAAAACTTGGAAAGTGATGAGAATTAGAGATATCATCGCTACTATATAGTTATCCTTATTAACATACATGTATTATACACACAGTAGTAAACAGTAGTGCAAAACAAACAGTAAACAGGGCTAAACAAGCACGTACATGCACACGACGTTACGCACACGCAGGCATTCAACACCCCGAGTAACCGATTGTAACCGATCATCGGTTACTTGGGTCCAACCGAGTGATCGATTACGAAATTACAACCGATTGACAACACTACTTATTACTATCAGGGTAGCCAAATTAACAAGATCATGATCATACTATCAGGATAGCCACATAAATAAGATGATATTACTGTAACTCTTTTGTTACACCAGAATGTATATATAATTTAATTTAGAATTTAGATATGTAAAGATATCGATGCACACAGATTACCGCCTACTAATCTGTGTCACATCTGTAAATCATATGTTACATTACTATCGGGGGTGGCCACATGAATGATATTATGTTACTATATTAGGCTAATTAATTAAATAAGATCATGTTACTGTTAGGATGGCCAAATAAATTAAATGATATTACTATAAGGATAGCCAAATGAATAAGACCATGTTATTATAAGGGTGGCCAAATGAATAAGATTACTTCCTTTTACGGTGGCTAAATTAATAAGCTAATATTACTATCAGGGTGGGCCAAATGAACCAGTACACGTTATTAGTAGATTCACCACACGAGCGAAAACAATGTACTACTAGCAGAACAACAGGAATGAGAACGCCGCACGATGAGGTTGCCCCCCCACTCACCTGTCTTCTGTATCTTCCTCGGCGGTTCGCCATGGTCGTCCGCGCTCTCGCACGCCGCCGCCGCCAGTGGCGCCACCTGGTCGGCGTCGCGTGACGTCGTCGGCGCTGCCGGCTGCTTCTCCTCGGCCTCCGCCGTCTGCACGCAACAAGCGACCATCTCTGCCATCGCCTGCGAGAAGAAACAAGCGCGCGTTCAGGATGCGACGTGATACGAGCGGGGGGTCCCCCAGCGACTGGACGAACGAAACGTAAAAACGTGAATGGAACCTTTTTTAAAACGCAGTGGCTACGCGTCCGGTCTTCCATTACAAAGCTCAGCACAGATTCCCAAATCCACGTCACGATTAGGCCACGCCCCCTGTCAAAATCGTTGATTTTACTGGATTTACTATTGCTTCAAAAGTTACAAAAACACATTTTTTTGATAACATACCTAAAGGTAAGTAATATTGTGTTAAAAACTTATTGTTTATTGTTTTTTACTGAAAAAATATAGCTGGGTTCACATAAGAAATATATGACCAGACGCGTAGCTTGGAAGCTGGCTGCCCGGTAACCGGACGCGTAGCCACTGCTTTTTTAAAACGGCATGTTCTCGCAGCAAAATGCATAGACTACTGTGAGCTCATCTATGTTGTAAAAATTCACTGCAACTTATTTGTATTGCTACTTTCATAACATTTCTCCAGCAAACCTAAACAGTCTTACGAAACTAGTACTACTTTCGAATGTTTACAGTGTTTACACATCCGGGACATAGCCGAGCCGATCGCAGTTTTCATTAAAAGTCCTTTTCTATGATAAAACAAGTTATAATTTATTATTCGATGTTTGTTCAGTACAAAATTGTGAAATTTATTTAAATAATATGTTACCTACATTAGTTATGCAATCAGCAAACCAATTCGGTCGCTTCGCTTAAGGATACTCTCCACGTTGTGCAAGGGTATTGCTCTAGTGAAGATTAAACGTTTATTGGCGAATGAATCGAATCAATCACTTTTGTTTTATTTATAGAGGAGATATATCTCTATGCTCAAGCCAAAAAATTGCATGAAATTTCCAGCACCTAATTATGTTACCACACAAATTTTGAATTTTTATGTAAAAATGGTATTTTGGATATTTCTCAACTACCAGAAAGAGTCAGGATACAAAATTTTTGCCACATGGACCAAGCACAATATGGACCAAAATAGCGCGTCAGGATTTTTCTTTAATTTTCATATTTACCGAGAAAACTCGAAAAAACTGCTTAATAATCAAGTTGCGTGTTAAAATAGAAAATTTTAGCGAATAAAGAGGCATAACTAATAGAGTACGGCACTTAATAACAATCCCTGACGCGCTTTTTTACCACAATATGTTACCATTAAAACGAGTGTAAAATTAAATTAATCCGAGTTGTAATCACAGAGAAATATCCATTTATACATCGGCTACTATGTCAGAAATCGAAAACGGAGAAATCAGCGTTTTTCTATTTTTCACAATGAGTGACCGCCTGTGTGCAAAATGGGTGAACGTATGTGATATATCTATTGTTAGTACTTACTGTGACATATCCATGACTAACTGACACCACTAAATTGGTAAAATGTTCCATGCACCTTGAGAAATTGTGAGAAATTAAACGCGCGAACTGCGCTCATCCTGACGTCACAAAGCAAATATGTCAACAAACGCACGCAATGTACCCCACTATAGTAAGCTAGTGTATTGCGAGGTGTTAGAACTATTTTGGGCGTGGGATACTTGTTGGATCACTAGCAGATGTACATGAATGCACATGAATACATGTAATGACAGCTGTAGGAGGGTTGAGGCTTAATGATACTGGCTTAGTTAATATCTTGGTTGTATCATGTATCTGACCGACGTTAGCCACTGCTTACTACACATGTACGCGGGCAAGCAAAAACGCTCTGACAGTTCACATGTACCGGTAACCGTTCGTTATATGGAGAAATGAGCATGTACACAGGTGGCAAATAGTGTTAGCCATCGAATAAAGTTGAAAACGAAAAATCGATGAAATTTCATGCACAACGTGGAGAGTATCCTTCAACACAACAATTTACGTGTATCTATACGCCGAAACTTCGTCGGACGCAGTTTTCAAAATGCTCTACTTCGGAGCACATTCCTGGCTCAATGAGAACATTTCGTGATGTTTTCGTACTGCAAGTATGCTCACAGTAGGTGACTGTAGGATTTTTGTTGCGAGGTTTATCCATTTTAAATACAGTAACAGAGAGAAATGTGAGGATGGAGGAGGAGGTGGTGGAGGAGGGAGGGAGGTACAGGTGGAGGAGCAGGAGCAAGAGGGGTACGAGGAGGTGCAGAAGAAGAGGAGGAGGAGAGGAGCAGGCAGAGGAGAAGAAGGTCCTGGAGAAAGCGAAGGAGAAGAGGAGAAGGAGAAGGAGAGGAGAAGGTGGAGGAACATGAGGAAGAGGAACAGAAGGAGAAGAGGAGGAGCAGGAAGAGGAGAAGAGAAGGAGGAGCTGGAAGAGGAGGGGGTGGCCTCCGCGACGACTCACACTCACCGACAGTTCCACGGTCGTCGATGTCGGCTCTTCGTCGGTCACTCTATCCTCCGCCGATCCCTCGATCGGCTGCTGGTCGGCGTGCGCGCGCGTGATTGGCCACACCGTCGTCGTCGCAAACTCGAGCGGTCGGTCCATCTTGTCGTCGACGCTCGTCCACGATTGGTTCGTTTCCATTGGCTGAGCGGCGCCCCCTATGGGCGGAGCGACCTCGGCGTCGGGGTCGTGCGTCGCCGGCGGCGACGACCCTGCCGCGGGGTCGCACGGGGTCGTATCTTCGGACACCTCCGTCGCTGCGGCGACGCCCTCGGCGACGCCCTCGCCGACGCGCTCGGGCGTTTCGGTGGCGACGGCGGAGCCGCCGTCCGTCAGACGTTCGGATGTTTCTGCTTCGGCGACCGGCGGCGGCGGCTCCACATCCCCGTCGCGCGATTCTGACGGATGCTCAGGTGTTTCTGCAGAGTCGACGCAAGTGGGATGTTCGGTGGCGCCATCTGTCGGCGCGACGTCGCCGTTTGTCGCGGCGGTGCCACCGTCGTTTCCTTCCGGCTGCGGCGAGTGGACGCCCTCTTGTTCGTTCGGCGAAAGCGATCGCGCGGCAGGGTGAGTAGATGCCGCCGCCGATGCCACCGCCGCCTCTGTCGTTTCCATCTTGCCGGATTCCGTTTCCGCTTTGGATTCGTCTCCGTTTTCCAGGATTCCGTTCACAAAGTGGAGACCGCTAGGTGTCTCTTTGCTGGAAGGAGAAAATCGATTTGGCAGAGAAAGCGTCGCGACGCGCAGACGAGAACGCTCCGTGTTACCGCAAACACAAGAACATTCGTAACGTTTTCGCATCACAAACGCCTTAGTTGCTGGCTGGAAGTCCTCCTCGTCTATCAATAAACATCGAATGTTTTTACTAGAGGTACGGAAAAACTACGGAAAACTCGCTTCAACGGCTATAGCAACGTGTCGGCGAAATTCTGCGGTGAAATTCACGCGGAAAAAAATGCGGCTTTTCTTCCGAGTCAAAGTAAAGATCAATATCAACCTGAGCGAAGAAATACTATCGGTTACCCTGTGAATGGAGCCAGTGTGCTGACAACAAGTACATTCTGAAACAGAGAGAGAGAGAGTGAAGAAAAAACCATGAGAAACAACCACGACGATAAACACCCGTCAATAAACAGTGAACAGCATGAAAACCGGTGTTCATGTGTTTGCACGTCTGCCAAATTTTCTTTGGACATTTGCTGAAAAAATACGGCCGTTCTCTGGAATGAACTAGTTAGTATAGCAGAATTTTCAGGGAGTCACACGGACTCCTGCATATGTCAAATCAGGGAGTCCGGCAGTAAATCAGGGAGTATTTGACTCCGGACTCGCGTTAATTTCGCACACTGAACTTGCATTTATCTGGGCAAACAAGCGCATTACAAGTGCGTTTTGTACAAACAACGTCGTAGAATCATCGCGTGGTCTACAACTGAATCTCGTATCGCGACGAAACGCAGAAACGGTTTTCCGTTCGATCGAGGCGTGCGGCGTAGAGAGATGCTCATCTCTCACCTTCTCAATCCCACGTAGAAACTTGTCCGTCCGATTGTAGTGTTTCTTCGGTTCCGTGACGAGTTCGCAGAGTCTCTGTATTGTGAACGGCGCGCTGCAACGGAACACGACAGTCCGATGAACGAACAAACCACGAACCACACCAGAATGCTTTCATCGTTCGTCGTCGTCAACTGAACAAGATAGACGAAAGAACGAACCACGAACCACACCAGAACGCTTTTACGGCGTACGTCTCCGTTGTCGTTAACTTTACCTCGCACCGATCCGTGTACATCACATCTATCTACGCACACGCTATACCGAATAGCCGTCACACCAGGTTTGTGGTTAGGCCAAAACAAAATATAAGTGTGGTTACGGTTTCCCGACCGACCCTATTTATTCCCAGCGACCCTAAACATTTTATTGTCAATTTTCTTTAAAGTCAAAAAAAGAAATGTAAAACATGTAAAAAAAATATGAATTGGACAATTCCTGCTTCAAAAGGCACAACACACATCCTTCGGACATGGTTCGTAAATAAAACATTTCAAGAAAATAAAATGTTTTCCCTACCTACCTACCCTATTTTTTTCCGGCATGTAACGGTAACCACACATATACCTTGTTTTGGCCTTAAGGTTAATGGTATAAGGGTGATGGGCAGTGTTACTGTTACTGTTACTGTTACTGTTACGGTTGGCATTAGGGTTATGATGCCGGATAGGATACAGGCTAATGTGCAGTAGGATTTTGATTTGGGTTATGGTTAGGTTTAGATTAGAATAAAGGGAAAATGTTTAGGTTATGGTTACGCATATATTACAGGGCAAGGATTACAGTTATGGTTAGGTACAGGTTATGCAGCAAGGAGTAGTGCTATAGTTCGGGTTATGGTTAGGGTTCAGGTTAGGAAAACTATTTAGAAGTTGTATCTAATTTCGAGCAATTAAACACCAACTAATAACCCAAACTAACGAATATATCGAAACACGCACGGTACCTTCCCACCCCTACACTCTCATCCTAACCCTGCCACGCGTGTACGGCCAATCCCCAACCACCCCCCACGCCTCCACCCCTTTCCCTATGCTGCTGTGGCTCGCGCGCGTGTCGGTGGCGCCCCCTACCTCGTGAACTTGTCGAGCGTGTCTAGGAGGCGCGCCCGCATCGTGTCACACGGTACCCTCCCTCCCCTACACTCCAATCTCCGCCCCGCGCCTCATCGGTGGCGCCCCCTACCTTGTGAACTTGTCGAGCGTGTCTAGGAGGCGCGCCCCCATTGTGTCACACCGTACCCTCCCTCCCCTACACTCCAATCTCCGCCCCGCGCCTCATCGGTGGCGCCCCCTACCTTGTGAACTTGTCGAGTGTGTCTAGGAGGCGGGTCCGCATCGCGTCGAACGGAACCACCTCCAGGTTCGGGTTGGGAGCGACCGTCTCTGTCGGGGCCGTGGCGAAGAATTCGCGCATCACCGCGTCGAGCTTGTGCATGAAGAGTGGCTTCAGTTTCTCCCACGGGAAGCTGCAAACACGCGCGTTGCCGCGACGGCGGCATCCCGATTAGCATCTCGATTAATCGATGGATAGATTTATTTTCTTCGCGATAGATGCGATGTACAGACCTGCCAACCCCATCTGATGATCATCAGTAATAATGATTGGATTTTTCCGTAACAAATAGGCATTTGTCAGTAACACCTGTGATTTAATTTATCTCTCACGGTGATTGGCTGAAAATAGCCTTCAGTGCGGTACTACTATTCCTGGATCCGTGACGTCATTCAAAATGGCTGCGCCCATAAACCAGACAGACGAGCGCATAACACAGCATAATTTACCATTTTCAGTGAGTACCGTTACGTTTTAAGAGCTATTAGTCTAAATCTACAGACACAGTAGTCATGTTACATGATAATAGTTGATTTTACACTGTGTTTATTTCTTTTTTTTGCATTAAAAAATATAAATTTCAGAGATTTCTTGCTGTCCGTAATTTTTCGAGATCGTCCGTAACACCGTAATTTTGACTCGCGTCCGTAACAAATTACGGGCAATACGTAACAGTTGGCAGGTCTGGATGTATATTTAGGTATGATGTACGATATATACACGCATGTATATATACATATATAATATATATATATATGTGTGTGTGTGAACTGTATATACATAGATAGATAGGTGGGTAGACTTTTTCACCTTTATACACGCATGTATATATATATATATAATATATATATATATGTGTGTGTGTGTGTGTATGTATATATACTAATAACTTTGCATCACTGACAATCTTCTAATTAGTCTCTCTAAATTAAGTAATTTAATGTATATTTAATAGATAAATAATATATATCAATTATCATTTATTCATATTCACACACGCACACACACAAACACGCACGCACGCACGCACGCACGCACGCACGCATGCACGCACACGCATATTGTATATATAACATTTAAGGAACTATTCCCTATTATCTACTTCTGATAACATGCAGGTCAAAACAAGCGATAATTTGGCTAGCGTGTTTAACCATGGAAACAAACCAATTTAAAAATACGTCAGCGATGAATACGCCTGATTTGGCGAACCCTATCCCATAACCGTAAATATTCACAAGTGCTAGAAATATGAAACAACGGCAGACTTAACTGTACACCGTGGGAATATAGCGCTGACAGTGCCTAGTGGGGGTGTCTAACCAACGAACAGTAACACACCATTACGATTAGTGCGAGTTTCCTCTGACCTAACCCACACCATATCCACCAAAATCGTCGGTGTGTGGGCATTGGTCAGAGGAAACTCGGACTACATTACCGTGTGATTACGTGGAGTGCTGCTGGTGGTTTTAATTTACGACGCACCGAGATGTGAGCATTGGAAACATCTGTCGCATTAGTAGCATTACGTGGTCTTTACTTACACCGGCTCCCCAGTTTTTGCGATGTGACGTAGAAACTCGTCCAACAATGGAACAATTTCTCTGGGCGATTTGCTCTCGAATTCTGTAAAAAGATATCGAACAGAATTGTAGCATTTGCACAGTTTCGTTCGATTTGCACGATAGGCGTAATAATGGTATAGCTTACCCGTCAAAGCGACTAAAATTCTCTCGGGATTTTCCATATTTCAGTTAGACGTGTTTACACAAATCAGGCGGAATTCATTTGACCCCGAACTAAAAATGGGTGATGACGCTGTTTTTGTGGCGCCATCTTCTGGCACGGGAAATAGTTGTTTCATTACTCATCTGAAATGTTAATCCAGGTCAGAGCCTATATATGAATCATTATAAGCTCTTTGTCCAAGTCTGTTTTCTACGTTTTTTATTATTATTTTAATAGCGTTAGAGCTTGCCATGTGTGCCGAATCACAATGCACTGCACTGTTATGCTACACACTGCACTGCACTGCACGGATGTGACCACCGCATTATAATGTAATTATATTGAAGGGAGCTGGTAGTCTACCTTATTCATACTGAAACACACTGTTACAGTAAACATCGAAACCCATACACAGATATATTAACGTATCACTTTTTGCTTTTAATAATTACAATACATATATATATATATACAAAGACGTATTTTTATTAGAGAGTGAAGCATTGGTCGCGACGCGGAATAAGGTTTTTCGGTGGCCAGCGATGAATCCAGAAAGTCTGTGGCGCTGGACAAGAGGGAGTCTTGTGCGTCCTTCCATCGTCACGCTTGAGTTCCGCTGCTTGTGTAACTACTCCCACATACTCCACACATCCGCCTATGATGCGTAGGTTTCCCAGGCCTGCTCCAAGCCAGCTTTCCTATGATGAAAGCAAAGTTTTTGTTACTCTAATGTAGATTTAAGTATTATTGCAGTTATACAGTATTTAAATGTAGCCACTAGCCACGTGTAAAATTTCGTAGATAATGAAAGTCAATGCTCTTTCTAAGGATGATAATTAATTGTTAATCATTATATATTATTAATTATTATAATAAATAATGATTACATATATACCGGTAATAATTATTATATATGTGTAATTTGTAATTAATTCTCTCTTCCAATAAACTACAAGCATTGACACAGTTTTAGCTATCATGGCTTTTTCAAAAACATCAAGATATATATATATATATATATATATATATATATATATATATACACTCACGCTGCTTTCACAAATGTGTCAATAACAATGTGATCCATTTCGCCGCCTGGTGGGAATTCATCAAATTTAGAAACACCAAGCGTCTTCATGGCTGGAAGAACAAGAAACATTTATATTAAAACACGATAAGATATATTCCTTTCACTTGTCACTAAGGTTATTTTTTGCAGACAAATAATTGAAATATAATGCTTATAAGACCATTTGACTGTAACTGTAAGTAACGTCGAAACTACAAATAGAATTATGCAGAAATGTATAGAGCATCAGAGCTACTAAAATACAAATCGAGATCATGATAAAATTTGTATGCATGTAGATTAAGTTACTCCTGTGATGTACATGTTTGTCTTTTTCCATTTTTGATATAGTCCCTTGGATTTTGAAAACTAATATTTACGAGGTAACGAGTTTTACCTTCTCTGTATTGTTCCCTAGAGATATGTCCACTGCCGCTAGAATCCAGCATGCCAAACAAGGAGCGGAGATGGTTCCCCTGAAACAAACATGGAGGAACTGGCTTCTCTCCCGTCTGAGATGCTTTCAAAGACTGCAGTTGTTTAACCAGGTGAAGCTTTGGATCTTCTGAAAAAGAGAAACGATCATGTGGTTCTAATATTTGGATTATGTCCGACGCATGATGTGCCGCTTTGTGTGATTGAGACGGCCATGTGGAAGATAGGTCCGCGCCAATTTATTGTATCTGTACCCAACATGTTTTACCGTCGTTAAATAAAGTTTTTACTTACTTACTATGATCACAGGCCCTTGGAGGCTCAAGTTTCAAGAAGAGTATAAGAGCGAAGCGGCTTCGCTCTTATACTCTTCTTGAAACTTGAGCCTCCAACTCCAATGGCAATTTGGCATGTGCTAATGCTATGAGTATGATGATGAGCTAGCCCGACCAGGCTGTGCGACGGATTGTCTATACAATCCGTATTGTAACCCTAGCAATACCGTTTCTTGGAGCTAGATGATGAGCCTGCATGAGGCCCAGGCTAAATATATATTGGAAAAACACGTTTGGACCACAGCGCACACAGAAACTTACAAACAGACAAAACACGATGATTACTCATGATTACATGATTACTCTACCAGTCTACCCCTAGTCCCTACTACCTAATAAAATAAATTACCTAAATAAGTTATAAATGAGTGGCGCTGACACTCACACTGTGTGACTGTCACTGCCGCTGCCACTGCCAGAGACAGCCGACTCGGCTGCTGTTAGCAGCACAATATGAATACTCGCTACACGAATGCTTACCTGGTTGCGAATAAATAAGTTCTGCAGTTAAATTATTTAATAGCTCAATTACTTTATGTTTCTCTAGATACTCTTCCACTTCGTGTTGCATTTGAGCAGTCATGTTGCTACAACAAATGCAGACTGCCAAATATTATGTCGTTGCGCCATCTATTGGGAACAACCTATAGATACGCGTGCGTGGCGTGAAGATGGAGACAGAGAGATCGAGAGAAGGAGGGGGGAGCGAGAGAGAGAGGGGGGGGGAGCGAGAGCGAGAGAGAGAGAGAGAGAGAGAGAGAGAGAGAGGGGCAGAGAATATATATATGTGTCCGGAGGATTTATGACTAAGCAAATACATGACATGACAAGACACCAAGCCTTTGCCCTTGCGATACAAGCTTATCAACTTTTCTATAACTTATCAACTTTCTTATCAACTTATCAAGCTCTCTTCTCGGGTTTGCGCGCTGCAATCGCTCGCCCGCTTCCCGCTCGGCCTGTGGCGCTGCATGGTCAATACAAGCAGAGCATATAAATCAACGCATATGTATATCAATCAGAGCATGTATATCAGGAGTAGATAATAGGGAATTAATTCCCTATTATCTACTTCTGATATATATCAATCATTTATATGCTTTGATACAAGGTCAAAGACCCACAACCGCAGCTTTCTAGGGCCGGTGCTCACCTATAAGCAACCACAAGAGATGCATTTGTTGTGGGCCTAGCCATGCGCAGCGGTTGTGCCTGCATGCCTGCCAAGGTACTAAAATATCCAGTATTACAGGACTGCGTGATATTGGTAAGTAACCGGTTGGAAGGTTAGAAGTGGCAACAGCACATGGATCAGCACTGCCCGTTCATTACCCTTGGCCGGTTGGTGGTTGAGCTATTATGGCGAAATACGTAGTACCAAGAGTACATAATAGCGACTCTATGTGCGAATCCTAACACTAACCCTAACTACCCTGTGTGTTCGCATGCGTGTTGATCCGCCTGGACTATGAAATCAAGTTGTCCGCACGCACACACACGCACGCACGCACGCACACGCAGACACAGGTATATGTGCGTGTATACGATGGTTACAGAGTAGAGCGTGAGGCATACCTGTGAAGGATGATGAAGATGGTGCACCGACCAAGTCGCGGAGTCACGTTACGCGTCCTGTTTCTCATCGCATGTAAGTTTAATGGAGAACATCTCTCTGTCTGTCTGTCTGTCTGTCTGTCTGTCTGTCTGTCTGTCTGTCTGTCTGTCTGTCTGTCTGTCTGTCTGTCTGTCTGTCTGTCTGTCTTCGCTCTCATCACTCTCACTCTCTTCTCTCTCTCTGCATTAGTGCGTCCCTCTCTCATCTATATCTTTGTCTCTTCTCTCTCTCTTGGGCGGTCATCCGTCGGATCTCCTCATCATGCTCTCTTCGGCTCTCTCTCTACCGTCTCAAAATACAATGTCTCAAAAATCATCATTACTTACAAATCTCAAGAACAAAAGAATATCAAACTCATGTACTGTATGAATAAGGATCGAAAGGTAATCATAGCCAAAGGGCCGCGAAGGGTGAGCTGGGGAAGGGTAGAGTGCGAGCGCGGACCTCTCTACTTCTGTCCCCTCTTCACCAGGATCCAAAGGCGACACAAACACAGGCAACTCCTCACTTACTTTTTCATGCTCCCCTGCAGCCGCTATCTGCCTGAGATTCTTCTCTCGCTCATCACCCACTCCGAAATAGTCGGGACATCTAGCACAACAGTCTCAGTCAATCATTACCGAACCAAATGAGATAGAACATCGCCAGTCGTATCAACGTTGTCAGGAAACTCAGACAAGCCTTTCATCTGAAATACATTCACCATATATACCATCAACAATTCTCCCAACGATCAACAGCAAGCCACGGTTTGTGATGAGACCGCGAATACTACACCCACTATCCCAGAAGGAGACTAATCTCTACATTTCGAAATAAAATAACTTTCTCAGCCAAACATAAAGCAGTGTAATCTGTACTAAAAATACGCAACATTAATCACGCTCGTGTGTGACCTTGTACGATTTACAAAACTTGTTTTAAGAACATTGCAAACAAGATTAAGCCATTGTCTTAGCTTTGTTACTTGGGTGCACGCCTTCACTTCTAGTGCCTCCGAGTCCGTCTAATCGGTCTCCCTCTCTCTCTCTCCCTCTTTACTCTCAAAGCTTAGGGGAACTTCGACGAATATGTTGCAGGAACGAAACCAACGTCATACTGAAAAGCCTGTAGTGGCTTAAAAGCAAATATACAGCGACTGGAGCCTGGGCGGCAGTGCAATCACGCTGTGTTTTGCGTATTCCTTCCACTTCCTCGGCTCATCTTTCTGCCTGCTGCTGGCCTGCTTGCTGTTGTTATTATTATTATTGGTTGTTAATGTTTTTTTTTTTTCAAAAATTCGTATTGAGCGCATTGCACAGCCCTGTAAAGATATCACCTAAAACCGAAGTGGGGGGGTGGGGCGGGGGGGGGGGAGGCGATCGCACAATTTAACATAGTCGGCGGTATGGAAAGAGGAAGATATAAAGCTATCTATATGTCTCCTTCATGCTTACTGTCTGTCTGACACCAGACCTGATAGCTCCGACATATGAGTAATATAGATAATATAGAACATCTGCGTTGGTTCGGTAGTACATATGGTTCATTGTGCGCGCACGATAGCACGTACGCGCGGCGCACACACATGGCACACACACTGTTCACGCACGAACAAGCGCGGCGGCCACACACTACATGCACACATGCCATGCTTGGTGCGGATGCACATCACGAACAAGCGCGGCAGACACACACGGCGATTTCATCAACACACACCCAACACACACCACTACACCACACACACACACACATCACAACACCCCAGCACCACACACCACAATGCACCAAACCCAGGACAGCACACCCACAACAACATGACGAACACACGACACAGCAAGTCACATCCAGACGTTAGGACGGAAAGGAACTTTGACCTTGTGTCTACAACGGGAATCAAGCGCTGTGCGCACTTTACACAGATTTGCACACACACAACCGCACTGAACAAGCGCGCGCCACATCACACACGACACACATCACACACACGACACACACTACACAGCACAATATCGCCACACCCTCACACACCCAGCTCCTCACCCAGACACACACACCCACACTACACACACACACAGTCCACACACACACACAGCACACACACACACACACAGCACCAACACCGCACGCACCATCGCACGGCAACGCACGCACTGCACGCGCCGCGCGCGCAACAACGACACCACACTCACACTCACACCACAGCACACCCACATTTTCCTCAGCGTCAGCCTCTGACCCTTCACACACACAAAGAGCGAAGTAACAAAGTCAAATCGCACAGACACTACACACCTTAAGGTAAAATGCCCACACACACACACACAAGGGGCGCAATTACTGCAGATACTTCACACCCCCACACACACAAGGGGCAGAATATGTGATAGATCACATCACACTCACACGAGCACATGGTGGACACACATACACACACAATATATGGATATTGTTGTGAATCAATTGATGACGCATCAAGAACCACGAACATAGCATGTTCAGACGGGCACGGCCGGCACGCACGCCGCGGACCGCACGCTGCACGCATACGCGCAACGCACCGCTAAGCGACACGACACATTATGAAAGCCAGCACCACTTATGGGACACACACAAATTTCAGGGGGGCAAATTATTTTCACACACTGTCACACAACCACACGCACATTGTATGTTATTGCTATGTAAACGCGGTCCTTGCCGTTTTTCGCCACCCCGTTGTGTAACGCGGTGGGCGTTGACCGCAGCGCTTATTGGGTAAGGTACGTGTGTTGCGTAATACGCTGGCAGGCTCACGCTAATTTCCCGCATGATTCCTACCGTGAGCGATTGGGTCAGAATGCGACTGGTGCGCTTGACGATTGGCACCGACGCTGCTACAGCTCATCATCCAGAATTTAATGTAGAAGCAGAGGAATAACGCATTTTTCGTCTGTCTTCGCGCATGTTTTGTTTGTTTTGTTAGTTTTGTTTGTGCGAACATTTTTCTCAGCGGGGCTGTGCGTGTCTATTACCAGCTCATCATTCAATCATTCTATCATAGTTCTGATCGAGATGCTACTGCTATAGATAATTCTAATGATCAACCGTTCATTTGATCAAGCGCTAAGTATAAACATAATATCAGTCAGCTACGCAGCACAGTATATACCACACAGTGATCAACCCAGTATACAGGGTCATTACAGTCAATACTTATCATATGAGTATACATTAAACTCGTAATACAGTAGTGAAGCATACAGTAATACATAGTATGAATAAAACATAGTAATCACACAGTACTAACGCATACAGTATAACAGAGCAGAACAGTAAAATGAAATAGTATAATAATACATAGTAATAACAGCACGGTAATTGCAGTATACAGCATGACAGTAACTTACCATAATATAATAAATACATCAGTAATGGACACAGGTTTATTTATTATCTCTTTATACTGATCAAGCAAATAGAATAATTATAGTTCTCTGTCAGTTTGGTCTGAGCAAGTGGCAGGCGCCCAGTATGGGGGGACGTAAGATGTTTTATGAGTTTTCGTGTCTTCTTTCGCTTCGGTAGGTTATTGTCTTTGGCGATGACAATTTACCTGGATGCATTCGGATGGCCGGCAGCTCAGTCTCTGGTCACCGCTTCTAGCGTAAGACTCCCTACGTGGCACGGAGCGCGGACGAAACCAAACGCACGACGCCAGTGCGCTATACTACATTATAAGTTCATATGACATTTAGTTGAGGTATGTAATGTAGTTTAAGGTTGTTAATGAGGCAGTTCGTTCTTTTGCATTTATTGAATTCATTTAATTAATTAATTGATCAAACTTCATGTCGTTTTACTATTAATGTTATTTGTATTTAATTTATTTATTCATTTATAGCTATAATTCATTCGTTCTCATCGTTCTAATGATTATTCATCTAACGTAGTATACACGGCACAGACACGCACGTGTACGCAGAGCAGCCGCACGCACGACTTGCCATTATTAATTTTCTCGTTCTCTTGTTTTGTTTCCACAGCAGACCAACGGCGACCGCGCGTAACGCATGAGACGGTCGCTAACTCGAGCAAGCCAACAACGCTGCCAGAACGGCGCTACTGAACTAACGGCAGCGATGACCTAACTCTACGGCGAACGCAAACACGACCCAGCGCCTCTAGCGCGCAGTCGCGAGTGGAAATTCTCGTCTGCTAGTCGTAGACAAGTATATAGCTTAGTCTAACTGCTCCGTACCGAAGGCCGTGAGTGAAATGGGGCAGACCAAAGCAGATGGCATGGGACTGTGGTTTGCTTTGCATCCGGCTCAGATGACCAGGGCTTGACTCCTTTTGTGCGGACCTATCTGTTGAGAAAGCACGGAGGCGATGGCCCCCTCTCAAGAGAATAAGAGATTTGAGGGTGCCAGCCCCAGCTGCATGT